CATTAGTCCGTACCACCACGGTTTTAGATCACAATCGACTTGGAACGGCCTCCCTTGATATAGTCATCCTTCATCATCATCTCCTTAAAAGACATTACCCTTTGCTCTTGATACCGTAGAATTATGACATGTATGATGTTCAGTTCTCCTTTTTTTCTCACACAGTTGATACCTCCACGCGTTCTTTTTTTTTTTTATCGCTCATTATTCGACTGGTCAACATTTTCTTTGTAATTTATGCTTGCAAAATCATCCAAGCAGTGTTCTTGTTGTACCTATAATTATTTAGTTTCGACTATTTTCAGTTTGCATTGCACTTTTTTGTATAACTACGTGTTTCATTTGTTTTTGCATTCTTGCAGTTTACTGAAAGATGTCCCACTGATTTTCGGACAGGAGATCCCCGTACAGCCAAGTGTTTGGGGACCTCATCCCCTATACTTATATTAGCATTTATGTCTTATATGAAATTGTGTAAACTGAAACTTTCAATCAAGCCTTCAAACAAAAATACATAATGGTGTTTTCTTAGTCTAACCTTTTGTCAGGTAAACTACAGAAGGTCCGCCGCAGCGGATCAGTGTTAGCGCTATAAAGTGCTCGGCTGCTCACCCGAATGTCATGAATTCTATCCCGGCCGTGGCGGTTCTATTTTGATGAAGGCGAAAAGGTGGAGACCCTTGTACTGTGCGATGTCAGTGGATGCACGTTACAAAACATGGCAGCCGAAATTTCCGGAGCTCAGCGCAACGGCGTGTCTCCTTATCATATCGTGATTTCGGGACGTCAAATCCTAGATATTATGTTGGGTGGCTTAAAGAACATTTTTGTGTATATCTACGGTTGACATTTGCGTCAGGGGATAGTTTCCGCAAGCGTCCATCGCACGAATTTCGACAAGGGCACCCGCGATATCACGTTCAATCCTTCATTTACTCATCTTCATGACTGAAAAGTCATCCGACTTTTCAGTCTTCAGCCCTGGCTCCCGATAAATAGAAACGAAAGTAGAATGAACCTTGCAATTCTCACCCAATCGTGGTTTGATGCGTCCTGGGATTCACCGAGCAACTTTTCTGTGCACGTGCGCTTCGCATGAGTTTCATAGCCTCCTCAAGGCGATATTCCTGCCAGGCGTAGTGGTTATTTACATGGCGGAAAATTTGGCACCATCGTTTACGAGAATTATTTTGCTGTCACAATTTATTGCTGTTACATTTGACAACGAGGCTGCAGAACGCGCTAAAGAACGTAGAATGGCTCACTTATCGCTCCCAAATGATTGCGCCCATAGACAGCACTCCTTATAAAAAAGACCCAACCTGACATCACTAATCGAAAAGGCCATGAAGTGAAAAATCATGTCCTTGGAGAAGCATACGCCCCCGATTCTTCGGCAGGAGAACGTACCTGTCAAGTTGCCACTTTACCACTAAAAATAAACAAAAACCTGGCTCGGAATTTATGTTAAAAAAACACGTTCAGTCAATGACATACTGTGTCATTTAATTATACTCTGTTTGCGGGGTTTGTCAGAAGTCATAAGTACATGACAAAATAAAACAGAAATAATGAAAACAAAAAAACAAGCTTAACCAACTGTTGACATTAAAAAAGATACAAAAAAAGCCAGGCCTACGCGGAAGGCGCATCACAGTTACAGCGATAGCTGGAAGAGCGGCCTTTCAATAGAGCATTTTTCAACTCCTACAAGCACACTTGCAAAGTACCCACTACACCATGAATCCCCACACTTTCTCTTCAGCAGGGAGACATTGGTGATGATGATGGTGGTGGCCTGAAAGCATACACTCACTCTGGGGCATTGGCAAAAAAAAAAAGTGTAATTTGATCTATGTCATTCGTCTTCATACTTCGGAGAAGCGTGGTACCCGCTACACACTTGCAAGAAATTTTGTGCAATTGTTTCATGCTTTGGCTGACGACGATGAAGAAGTATGCCTGAAGCTTTTGTAGTGGGTTGGAACATTCGACAACCCACTCGTTACGCGATTCGCATTGTGTGACGCCTGGTTGTTCCTCTGCTGTTCCAAAACGCTTTACTACTCACATTAAAGCGATTCCTCTCTCGACATCAAACCTGCATATGGCCACTTTGCGACGGAGTTTCAAGGATGGGTGTCACTCATTTCTTCAACTGTTACCCAGAACCGTCGTCCATACCACCTCCCATTTCTTTTTGTCACGACAAGAGTTGCTGAGAACCCGCAAATATGGGGTTTCTTGAAATAAAATGTTAAGACAAGGAAGTTTTTGAAAGCCAGATTTACTTTAGAATATCTATACAGTGTAGATAGAACGACACTCACTGCTGCATTTGCCAGCAACCCTTTCCTTTAGCCTGTTTACTATATATAACAGCAATATTTATCTCGATATGGTCATGATGTGTTCTACCGTGTGCATAAAATGTGTATATCGCCAGCAGCGAAAACGTTTTTCTTTCAGCTAGACACATCCACATTACCTGTAAAAACGTGGATTCATGGAAAATGTATATGCGTGCTCTAGTACTAACTGTTTTTGAAATGAGAGCGCACTGCTTAGACGCGGACAGAAAGTCAGGGACAAGCGCTTACTAAGAACTGAATATTTATTCGGAAAACTATGCAATATATACTGACAGATGGAACAGTGTCATGGCACATACGATAAGACCAAATCGATAAGGAGTTAGCATTTTTAGACAGTAGCAGATGTCAAAAGAGTTAAGTAATCACTCGAAAGCACAGTAGGCGTTGGTAGGGTGGGGCTGACGTACATAGATCTTAATCGCTTCTGTTATTTTGGTCCATGATTTGGTCTTATCGTATGTGCCATGATACTGTTTCATCTGTCAGTATATATTTCAGTTTTCCGAATAAATTTTCAGCTGGTAGTAAGCGCTTGTTCCTGTCTTTCTGTCCGCGTCTAAGCAGTGCACTCTCATTTCAAAAACAGTCATGTATCACCAACTCGCCCAATCTACCATATTGACAAATTACGTTCCTAGTACGTAAATTTGCAGGCCTTGCAACGAGCCTGAAACAATCGAGCATTGTTTTATTCATTGCCGTGATGTATGTCATAGCCATAAAAAAAATTGAAATCACAGCTCATAATGTAAGGTGCCCATCGTTCAAAAAGACCATCAACAATAATGCACCGTACGATTTAATTATGTTATTCGTATAGTAAATTTTCGTCCGAACTCCAAATATGGTTCGGACCATGGTTCTTGCAGGCGAAGCAAAGCCGGGTTCGTTGCTTCGCGAGAATGATCGCCGCCGTCTTCGTGACTGTTCTGCGGAGGAAGACGCCTTCACCACTGGACGTTTTACTAACACAACTTGATGTACACAACTATTTACAATTCAAAAGACAGCAAAAAAGTATGACCCGCAAGGGGCCTAAAGGGCTCGTACCGGTGTCCAGCCGGCAAGCTCTCCTAGCAGCTAAAAGACCCCTCGTCTTTTCTCAAGCGCTCTTTTTAACCCCCGGTCTCGTTGCCTATGGCCCTCGCCGACACCGGACAGGCACTTTCATGGAAGGAGTAGTGTAGGTGGAGGAAGCTGCAGGATGCCGTTTCTAGGGAACGGGTCAGGCAAGCGTGGAAGGTGTTGCCACGCCGAGCCGGTTCCGTTTCTCGGGCAGACGTGTTACCAAGAAGAAAGGGGGCGGGGGATGTCACGCCGAGCGTGACCTTATACAGGCACTGTCCGTGATTGACAGACATGCTGAGCCACCTCGCTCGACCAAGTCTGTTTTCCGAGATGAGGCAGCCAATGTGCGTAGTGTAGTAGAGACTTTCGACCCTGTTCCGGAGTGGCTTGGACTTCTGGACCTGTGTGTTGGTATACCGGCCTTTTGAAGGTTCGTTGAATTCTATGAAATCATGCCTTGTGCATGTGTGCACGTGAATATATATTTTGAAACGATAAATTGTATAGATATATGTGAATTTTGGTTCCATTATTTCTATGCATTAAAGCAAAAAAATTGCACTGGCCTGACTCAGTGGTAGAATGCTAAAATGACACGTAGAAGACTTGGGGGGGGGGGGGGGGTCCTATTCTGTCTTAAATTTTTTTTCTTATTTCGCGTGATTGTGGTTACGATTCCCGGCGGCAGACAACTACGGCGCCAAAAACGACCCTCGTTGCGATCTAATAACAGCTTTCTCTGCAAAATAAAAAGGTATATACAGATGTGCCCCCCCCCCCCCCCATGTGACTAGGGGAGGCGGCCTTCTCCCGCGCCCTCATACGCACGCCTATATGCTTACTGATATACCGCGGAATCCACATCGCCTCATTTGGCGCGTCAAGTTAGTGCGCTCCGAACTCCAAAGGAACATGCTCGAATGCACTCGAGTGCAAAACCTTTGGAGCTTAGCTTAACGGCAATTTCCACCGCCTACTTACGGGGGCGATCAAGCGTTGCATGGCGAATGATAAGTTGCTTCCTCAGTAGGGATTAGCGGGGATCGGAAGAGAAAGTCGGAAACACGTCATTCTTTCGGCAGCCGTAGCGTGCACGAGCTCTCGCGTAGGCTGTCGTGCACCGTCTCAGGGTTGGAGCGTAAAGCGCGCTCCGTAATCACGCCTCCGAAGTCGCTTCATAACAGCTAAGTTGAGAATTCGTGCACGCCACCGGCTAGAGCATGGTTCAAAAGCGTGCTCTTTATCAAAAAGCATGGATCAAAAAGCGCGCTCTCTATCTTTTGCCTCATTTGATCATGCCATGCTGTGGAGAAGCGCAAGTTTCCTACAATTTTCTAAACAAGCTTTTTAATTATAAATGCGCTAGAAATTAAGCAAAACAATGCACAATTTTATGCAATAATTTTGTGAGTATTACTAATAGAAAAAAATATTAAAGCTAAGAAAGTTTTAGAGAAACCTTTGTGCTCTAGGTTGTCATTTTGCAGGTGTTATTTCGACAAATTTAGAACAGAACAGCCGTGCTAGTAATGAAGCAACACTGTTCACCGCCATAATCGTTGGAGTTATTGGTTGGCGGTTGGCGTGCGTTAAGTGCGTCTACCGAACTCGACCACGATATCAACCGCGCGCTTCGCGTAGCTCTTGCTGTTTCTGTGTTCTGATTATTCGTGTGGCAAATGTGCACCATGTTAATCTTGTGGCCAGCGTGAACATATGATTCCTGGAACTCGAGTGGTGCTCATCAGCTCGGTGAAACGGGCCAAGTGTTTGAAACCAGCCGCCTAGCTCTGTGGAACGATGAGTGACGAGTTTCAGCATCAGTTGGAACTGGAGAAGGCGGAACAAGAACGCCAACAGTCTGGCGGTTCCGATCTATACACTTACGTAGACCCCAATGATGGCACTGTTTACGAGTGGGACCACGAGAAACACGCTTGGTTTCCTAAGGTTTGGCGCTTCCTTCGGTAATGCATCGTAGCTCTCTTGCGCTAAGCGAATACTGGCCACTCGTTTATATGACTCGAGTTTTCACTGGAAGCCCTGCGTAAGACTTTTGGGTGACTCAACTGTTCCATTTTGCTTGCCTCCAAAATGTTATATCACTCAGTCGCCCAGTTCTGCGTGTCAGTCTAATTTGGTTGGTTGTTTAGACGCCGACAAGGTAGATGAGACGATGCTGCGCCGACGTTTTTTTGCCTAAGTTGGTAAACTTGATGTTGACCGAAGTTTAACGCAGGACAATTTTTTGAAACCTGTAGCCCTCTTTAATCGAAGGCAAAGAGGCTATGTTAGTAGCTATATGCGATGCAAAGGCACCTAATGAACATGACCCTTATAGCTTGATTATTTTTTGAAATGCTTATAATGTAGACCCCAGCATTTGTAAGACGTGCGTTGATTTAGGTGTGTGTATGCTTTTGTGTGTGTGTGTGTTTTTACATGACCAAATAACGTTACAGTGAAACAAAATAGTACAGAGCGAGAATTCCGAACTTGCAACTGAACGCTACTTTTGACAATGAGAAACGCAATGCAAAACAAAGCGTGAGAAGACGTGCAAAGCTTCCGTTGAAAAGAAGTGCCTGCAAAATATCGTTTGTCCCCTAATTGTAACTGCATCCGAATGGATGATAATTGAGGGGTGAATTCAGTTTATCAGGGCATTTGGTAGCATAGATATTAAGTGGCCTTTTAGTGCTGAGCCGGATTGATTTGCATGTGCATCTGTGGTTTGTATTATCAGATGACCAACGCCTCTTCTTTCCCATGTGTAAACGGCTTTGATCGGTCACCTTAGAATGCAATAATGGAGTGTGGGTAATGCACTTGTGCTTTGGCATAAGCGGGCCCTGCACATAACATACTACTTCACTGTAACATCTCACCTATGTCCTTCTAAGTTGTTGGTAGCCACCAACAGCTCTACAGACATAACTGGTTTCGGGCCAAACCCACATTATTCTCAACGTATGTTTCAAGTTTGTGGCATGTACGAAAAATGCGACAATGATTAGATATACTTATAGGTGCCCTATCCATGGGCTTCTCTCCATTTCAGCTGACAGAGGATTTTCTGGCTGCGTATCAAGCAAACTATGGCACGGCTGAGGGGACACCTTCCGAAGGAGCCAGTAGCGCCAGTGGCTCGAGCCAGGTGGCTGCCATGCCAGAGAAGACGGCTCCCGCTTTAGAGAATCGCGCAGAGGATCCTTCGAAAAAGGCAGCCAAGGGAAAGCAAAGTGAACAAGGTAGCATTTGAGCTCGTGTCCTATATTATATCAGTGAAAGTGCAGCTGACGCCATCGTTAATTTACAATACTGTGAGCCGTGAAGATGTATTGTTAGATCTGAAGTCTCAAATGCACTACGGCTAGTGGGCCGCAGTCATGAGATTGAGTCGCACATGGGCGGGGTAGCGAAGGTGGTAGGAGCAGGGAGGAGTTTCCATGCACAAAATGTCACCTGTTGCCTTTTGAAAGAGTAGCTGTCCCATATCCGATATATTTTGGTCATTTCTGCAGAGGACGTCGAGTTTCGAAAAACATGTCGATACTGATTTCCATAATCAGTAAAACTTGGATGCTTCTCCTGAAGCATAAAGTTTTCGATTAACGTTGGATGTTTCAACTGATAGTGATTGAAGGGGATGTCTCATGAAAAAAATGAATGCTTCAGACCACTCCTGTCTCTATTGCTTACTTGAACAAAGTGCTATTTCTTACGATAGGTGAGAAAATGCTACAAGCACTCTCGCAACCCACAAAAGGTCCGTTGGCCACATGTTTCAGACCCCTGTGTCAGAACGTTTTTACAGTGAGTCTCTCACTATGTCACTGCAGAAGCAAAGTTACCTTGTAATGGCTGCTGTTCTGAATACAAGTCTTTTGCCAAAGCTTTTGGCTCCTACTCGTGCTGAGCATTGTAGATAATACATGTATCCTTGATTCTATCTTAGGTACTTTTTGCACGTTCGGTACCTTTATCTTGATATGTCTCACAAAGTGTGTAATATGTATTTTAATCTCTGAACATTAAATAATGTGTGAATATACTAAAGGACCCCTGACAGTGAAAGTTTTGTTTGTGACTTTTTTATAGTAATTTGTAGCTTTATGTCTGGTAATATGTAAATCGAACCGTTAATGTTGTAAAACATTGTATAATTAATGCTAGTTTCGTTAATTCAGAATGATCTTGCATCAGTTTGAAACACTGGCCTAAATACCAAAAGAAACTAGCTCATAGACTATGTGCTCTCGAGGTTCAGTGACGCTGAATGCGCTGTTTTAATAGATGAACCTCCGGGTGAAGAAGAATGAAATAATGTGGATGCTTGAGCGTGTCCCCCTCGGAACAAAAGAAAACCTTTCGTGGCGTAAGCTGCCAAAACCACCTTGAGAGCATCTCGACAACAGTGTGGGATCTCGAAATGGCGTACAGAGAGCGACACTCTTGGAGTGAACAAACACGGCAGATTCGGTCGGAATGAACCAAGACAAACAATACACATTTATTTAACTACTCTCAAAACGATGATATCGTCAGCCAAATAATTATACATAAATTGTGATCAACACGCCAAGACAACCTTGCACAATATTAGACCACACTCAACAACATGACAAACAAGGCGGTGTCGCCAACGCCTGACTCACCACGAGGGCAGACGGCCCGCGGTGCTGTGCACTGGGTCCCACTGTGAGAGACAACCGTTCGCGGCAAACACCACCAGCAAAAGAGGCTCTCTCAATTCTCTCGCGCCGCCACCAAGGCTGATGAACAATAGCTCTTGCCGGGTGACAGTCGGGGTATTTTGTGCACCCCGCAAATGTTCTCCAAAGTGAACAATACTTGCTTGACCTATGCAACGTCACGTCAATGCCCCCTGTCTCTGTCAAACCGCAGGAAATGTCGATTGTGCCTGAATACTCGGACGAGCAGGTACCCTTACTTTAAAACCACAATAAAATATCTCTAAAGCAACACTCCTCACTATTAATCAGTCAGACGTGCCTCCATGTGCAGGACTGTCAAACAACACAAGCATCTTGTGTTTCCAAATTAGATGTCAGGGGTCCATTAAGGCACAAGATATTGCCACCACAAGATTACTGTGTGAAAGAACTAATGTTGGATAAACAAAGGGAAGCACCTAAAGGTCTGCTTCTGTTTTCTCTATTTTAAACGGTGCCATGATGCTTGCTCATGGGCATTGTGCTTTGCTGCATGCGCCACATGCCATGTCTTTCATGCAAACCCTGATACCACTATGAAGTCGTTATTAAAGGTTCACTTGCCTGGTGCTTTGTTTCAAAGTTTGAAGAATGCGAGAATAAGGTTGCTTTGTCTCTCATGGCATTTCCACACCAGTGATTCGAGGGATCTTGCAAACGCAGTGAGTTTTACTTACACGTAACGAAATTTTAATATAAAGAGGTTCTAGGTTTCGCACCTCTGGTATTGTCGCATGATGTAATAGGATAAGGATTAGCCTAACAGAAGACATCTTGGTGTACTGTATATTTATGTTCTTGCTATCTTTTCAATAATACAGTCTGCCTTGGTCTGCAGCCTTGGCTGCTGGCCTGAAGGTTGTTGCTTTAATTCCAGCTGCAGTGGTCACATTTCGATTATAATACTATTACTGCTACCATTTATATTACTACAGTCAAACCTTAATATATCGAACACGGATATATCGAATTATTGCCTATATCGAACGGTTCCTATATCACGCGGGAAATCGCATGCATTATTGATTTTTTATTTCGAACAAAGTTTGACATATAATGGATATATCGAACTCAGCCACCGCAAACTGCCCGCGCTCCATTCACAGGCGGCGAGCTTTACCGCAACTCTCGAAAGTAGCGGTAGAGCGGTGGGCGTTTACGAATGCTGCACACATCGATGGCGCTTGAGAGCGCCACTTTTAAGGTAGCGGCGTACGCGCGCCGCAGCCTTGCAGCTTGCAGTCGTTGCAGTCTCTATGGTGTCAACGGCACACTGCGCACTTGTTGGAAGGATTCGCTCACAGGATTTCAAGCTGGACGGTTGTGCCCTCGCGATCTCCGACGCCAGCGTAGCTCCCGCCGACTGGTTCGCCCTCCGCGGTCTCCTGACGCCGTGCAGCTCTCGCATTGTGGCGCCCCGCCCTTGGACTGCTTCGATCGGATCCCCACTTTCCTATCTCCTTCTTTTTTTCGTCCCTTGCCTGTCTATTTCTTCATCTATTTCCCTTCTATTCTTTTTATTCCTCCTTCCCCCCACCCCTATAAGGCACTGCACCAGAAGACATCTTGGTGTAAGGTTTGGCCCTTAGGCCTGTCGTGCGCTGTGGTACGCGACAGGCCTAACTCCGAACGGCGGAGCTCGCGGATGTGGAGATTGTCGCCGAAGCTACTGCTGAGCAGCCAAATGAAGACTCTACCGAGGTGGATCCCGCAAGCGCTGATGGTGCCCCGCTCCCGACATCAGCTGAGGTCGTAGCTGCCTTGGCCCTTGTTCGCTGCCACTGCGGCGCGATTGAAGGCACCGGCCTATCACTTATGGATCGCCTGGACTATATTGAGGACGCAGTCGTCAAACACGCCATGGCCAACAAAAAGCAGGCTACTCTTTTTTAATATTTTAAACCAACACAATAAATACTATGTTTATATCTTCAAGTGAGTATTTACTGCACCACGCTTGAACGGTTCGTTGGTTGTTTTCAGCAAGCTGTTGACGCATTTTTTTTTGTGATTTTCTAATATCGAATTCTGAATATATCGAACTATTTCGCGATCGCCGCGCCGTTCGATATTTCGAGGATCGACTGTATTATTACTTTTAGTGTCTCTTTAAAGCAGGGATCAGCGAAAGGTCGCGTTACTCTTATTGATTGCAGGCTGGTTCGAGATTGATGACGCCCACAACACCCGGGTGTACGTGAGCAATCTGCCGGATGACATTGACGAGGAAGAGTTCTTTGAGCTGATGAGCAAGTGTGGCCTGGTGATGAAGGACGAGAAGGGCCAGTTCAAGATCAAGCTGTACCGCACGGCTGACGGCCATCTCAAGGGAGACGCCCTGTGCTGCTATATTAAGGTATGTGCACCCACATAGAATGGATTCTTTTGCTCTTACACCCATGTCTGCTGTTTGGTATGGGATCTTCAAATCAGATATGATCTATTGATGTGGTCAGTGCAGGGGCTGCTGATTTGGTTGCATCACTGCTCGTGGCAAGCAATCAGTGTTTGCAAGCAGTGCCATTAGCACACGATGCAAGTGGTTGCGATCGGTCGTTCACCACTCACAGTCCTACAGCCAAAGATAAGCACTCTGGCCTAGGTAACGTAGATAACAAAGAATCACCTTGTTACACCACAATACATCAGCGTAGTCAGGTGAAAATACTCACAAAAAAGCTAAGCGTCATGTGGTGAAGCATGCTACGAAATGCGCTCCTTATTAGAATAACAGCTGGTACAGTACCTTAAAAATACAAGAGGCCTTTCTGTTCAACACACGGATTTCACAATTATAAATAGATGAAAATATTTTGATGCTGCCTTTGAGGAACAAATCAACAGATTCACATTTGTCACAATATCAGGAGCACTATACATAATTTTGCTTGCCTGAGCTAATTGGTTGCCCATCACGTGGATGGTTTCCAACCAAGCGCACTTACGAGAACACGAAAAGGAAGACAACAGATCACTGGACTGGCTATTGAAAGCCTGGTAATAATTTGTTATAGCAGTAGACAACTGATGCACATTCATCATTATCCATTTTTCCTGTTTATGCATAAGGAAAATACAAAAATGTATAGAAGCCATTGTAAAGAACAAAAATTAATAATCAACACTTCAAAAAAGAGTAAAATTATCAATAAACCTTTGGTTGTTTGTCTAGCATTGTCTCCTTTTTCTTCCTGTGTCCTCATCATTGTGTTTGGCAGAAAACCCTCATGTTGGCAGCAGATAATACTACTGTATTTACTCGCATAATCCTCGCAATTTTTTCACCAGAAAACTGATGCAAAGTTGGCGGTTGCAAGAATTACGCGGGGAAAACTTTTAACGAAAACATACACAGTGAAAAAGAAAACGAAGTGGCCGCAAATCGGGATTCTCACACCAGCAACTTACAGCAAGCTTTAAGAAGTACTAATTAGAACTTACCTCAACAATAAAAGCACAGTTTATACAAGGCAAGATTTATTTGAGACACAAAAAGTGCAAGCAAATAGTCAAGAATTGGTTGCAAGCGTAACAGTAGCATTCGTCGCTCAACAGGAGCCCTCAAAAGGTAAGCGCAGGACGTCAGTATTGGGCTGATGGCTATTTAACAGAATCATCCGCAGTTTCCTTCTGAAGAAATAAAGTTTACCATCAATCCCAGTTTTAGGCCCACGGCAGGCCCAATGCGTCTCGGTGGCTTTCAGCTGCCATCACCAGTAGCGAACACAAAACTCGTAGACTCTGAAGGGCCTACCGGCGGCCCTGTTGCCGTCGTTCAGTGCCTGATCTATCACTTGCAACTTGAAGCAGCCGTGTAGCTTCAGTATCACCCCATAACGTGCCAAGATTCCCGACATTGCATACAAAACACGCCGCAACGCGCACTGGCCACTTCGGCTTGGCTTGACTTAGATTGAATCTGCATGCAATAGTACGCTTTATGCTTAAGAGATGGCGCCACATGGCACGTGCTATCATCATCAGAAGCTGAAACGAGCAGACGACATTATTGCGGCAGTTTTCGGAGGTGCGATAATTACTCAAGGAAACAAAAATCGTATTTTTCTTGGGAGATGTGGGGGTGCGAGAATTATGCGAATGCGAAGATTACGCGAGTAAATACGGTATATTAAGGGAGCAGACTGGTCTTTGGGACCACAAGTGACAATAAAATTCATTTCTTAAAATTGACTTATTTGGTTTCTGCAAGTATTTTTTCATCTCTTTGCAAATTTTCACACACCAGGAAGTGGTAATTTTTTTGTAATGTCATTCTAACTGTCCAGATTCTTGGTGCTGTTAACATGCATAACTTGCAAAAAAATAGGGAACCGACTCCGAGGCTTCTTTATAATTGGCCTGCATCTATGTTAGAAGCTCTGCTACGAATTTATGAGCACCTTAATCAGCATTGCAAAACATGCACATCGTTATTGGTGTGTTTTGAAGAAACTGGGTGTTATCAGTTTTTTCCATCTTTCTAAGAAAAGTAAAGTTACAACTGTTCAATTTTGAGGCCTCAATATCTCTGCAGCTAGGGCAGGTACAGCAATAATTTTTTTTCAGTGGAAACCTGTATGTGTGTAGAATGCAAGTATGGGAGCAGAATTTAGAGCACAAGCCTTTTAAATTAATTGCTCATCAAAATTGTAACACAAGTCCAACTACTTCTGAAAATGGATAGTTAATTTTACTGTAAAATAACCAAGAAAGGCCTAAAAAAAATACTCTTGCATTCTTTCAATCTATAGTAATTAGTCTATGTTGGAATATCTTAAATATCACTTCTAATTAAGCACTTTTTTGTATGGTGGCCTTAAACAATAGGAGGTGAACTTAAGTTATCTCAGGAACAAGATGAGTTACAGGAAAACTAATTAAACATTTGAAATCTGCAGACAAAACTGTATAATCATGTGCAGTTTAATCAAGATCACTGAAAAAATAAACAAGCAAAATGTCTAAGACCAGTCTGCCCCCACAAATTGTTGTCTGATGCCCATTAAGTTTGGTATATCTTTGCAGTATGTACCGTATTTACAAGTTTGTAGGTCCACCTCTTTTGTCATAACTTGAAATCCAAAGTTGGGGTGGGGCCACGCAGCAGTGGTCCAGTGGCTAAGGTACTCGGCTGCTAACTCGCAGGTCGCAGGATGAAATCCCGGCTGTGGCGGCTGCATTTCCGATAGAGGTGGAAATGCTGTAGGCCCGTGTGCTCAGATTTGAGTGCACGTTAAAGAATCTCAGGTGGTCGAAATTTCCGGAGTCCGCTATGGTGTCTGTCATAATCATATCGTGGTTTTGAGACGTTAAACCCCACATATCAATCAATCGAAGCTGGGGTCGACCCAGAATCGAAACCTAGTTTCAGTTGCAAAAGTCTCCCTGAAAACAGTCCCCGCATATTTTCGTGAAGTTAGCTTTTCTGAACGGCTTTCAAGCACCGCCGTGAAGCCACCTTGGCACACCGATGGCTTCATAATGTGTCAAAAAATAATTTTTTTTTTTCCGAAAAATGCTCGTGCTCACCTTTTTTTTTTCTTTTTCCGCTGTGCAATTTTAGGGGGGTCAACCTACATTCAAGTCGACTTACAATCATGTAAATAAGGTATATGGGATGTCTAGTCTGATGAAGCACAAAGTGAATACCAACATAAAAATGAACAACAATTTACGGTTTTTATATGTATTTAGTGTGAGTCTTTTTCCCAATTTTCGCTACTTGATGTAAACTCATGCTTTGTTACCGAAATTTTCAAGGTTTTTGAAAAGTGTTATGATAAACACACCTTTTTTATTTTTGTTTGATTTTTTTCTTCCTGAAACCTTACCCCTCACTATATAATCAAGTAAATACAGTATTTGATAGAGTAGCAGCAGCTGGCATGCGTACTGAAGCTACGCTCGTCTGGGTAGTGAAAAGAATAATCTTCTTTGAAATAGGGTGACATCTTTTTGTAGCCACTGCCGCTGATGTGTACTGTGGGCGAATATGCGTTGGGGCTGTGTTTTATTGACAGCATGTAGCCCAACCACGTCGGGCTAAAATGATAGCAAGGCAGGGGCTGTGTGGGAATATGCGCTGAGTGTCAGTGCACGCATTTTACTCTCTCGTGGTTCTTGCTGTGAAAAAAAAAAAAAAAACAAAACAAAATTCTTGGCCAAGTTAAGTGAGACACTTTCTCATACATTGTTCTGAAAACTATTGCAGTCGCTATAATAGCATGCCTGAAATAGGTGCCTTGAATTGGTCACTTTCATTGTTTTGGGGTGTTGTACACACAGAGTCACACACAGGGTCAAGCTTTGTCATGTCTCTGAAAAGGCAGAGACAAGCCATGAGTACAGTGTGTACAGTACTCTGTGTGTACAGTACTCATGGTTTGAAATGTAGCAATTTAAGGCTAAGCAATGTACATGGTTCCATTTTTCATTGTCCTGAATTCTTGTTACATCCCTATTATCTTCACTCATACGTTAACACCAAACCATCAGATTGGTAGCAACGAGATGCAGCCATGCTTAGCAAGTGTACATACCAGTCATTATACTTCAATTGTTTATGGCACATTTCAATCTGTGAGCACTGTACCAGTAATGTCACGTTAGAATGACACAATGCCATTGAGTATTCAGCCCCTGGATACTGCTGGCATGCACCCTCATAAAGCTACAAAAAATAGAGTCATCAGCTCAAAACATGAATACAGCAATCTCTTGAAGGGGGGACGGGGCTTTCAAAAACCTAAAAATTGGGATAAAGTCGAGTTTTGAAAAACCATACATTTGGGTAGCATGTGTCATAAGCTACATCTAGTGTAAATATCAGCGCCTAATTCACGCTAAAAGTGCGTGAAAATGATAGCTCACTGCGAAAAAACCCATTTTTGTGCGCACGGCGCTTCAATGCATGTCATTCAAGCGCCGCCATCTTGGTCTTGTTTTATTCATAAGTTCTTGCTGTTTCTCTCGTCGCCATTGGTGGTAGGTCTGACGGTGTGGTCGAGGCAAAACTTGCTTCTGATTGGGGACCTCACAAGGCGTTCGAAGGCCCCACTTCTCAAATGCAGAGCTGCGATTGGATGGAGGGCGCGCTCCTCGAGGATGAGAGGAAGCAAGTAGCTTCAAATGGCTGCTGCGCTTGCACACGTGTTCAGCTTCCAACCGGGCCGCCAGCAACTGCACGTCTCTTTGCCTGCTTTGGCTTCTTTGTTGCAAACGCTCTTTGTGTGCTTCTTCGTCTCTCGTGATTGTTTTATTTTGTGATCGGTCCTGGCAGTGTTGTTCAAACCATCTTTATGAGATGATAGTCGTTTAACGCAGCCTGCCGATCGTTTTGCAATTGATGAGTTTTGC